TCTGTCTCTCTCCGTCCCTCTGTCTCTCTCTGTCCCTCTGTCTCTCTCTCTCTCTCTCTCTCTCTCTCTCTCTCTCTCTCTCTCTCTCTCTCTCTCTCTCTCTCTCTCTCTCTCTCTCTCTCTCTCTCTCTCTCTCTCTCTCTCTCTCCCCCCCCTCTCTCCCCCTCCCCCCCTCTGTCCCCCTTCTCTTTCTCTCTTCCCTCCCCCTCTCTCCCCCTCCCCCCCCTCTCTCCCCCTTCTCTTTCTCTCTTCCCTCCCTCTCTCTCTTCCCTCCCCCCCATTTCTCTTCCCTCTCTCTCTTTTCCCTCCCCCCCATCTCTCTTCCCTCCCTCTCTCTCTCTCTCTTGCCTCTCTCTCTCCCCCCCCCCCCTCCCTCCCCCCCCACCCCCCAAGATGTGAAATATATTCCAGAACTACTGATCTCGTCATTACGAAATCTGGTGCGCTTTGCCGAAGACGTGACTCTGTCTCTTGCTCTAAATGATATCTTCATAAAAACTCCACTACACTCTTCGGACTGTTATATTTCTTATGGAAAATATGAAAGCAAAAGCGAACAGGAGAATTTATGATTAAACCTTTTTTCACCCTTTCATTTTCGTCCTGGGAAAAAATCGGGTAATGCTTCTTTCGTCTTAATCTGTCTGTGTCTGTCTGTCTCTCCTCCGTCTGTCACACTTTCCGTGGCTGTCTCCCCCCCCCCCCCCCTTACCGTCGTCGGCGCCGTAGTGACAGGTGAAGGGGGGGGGGGGAGGGGGGATGCCTGGCTCTGGAGTTCCACCAATGATGAATCCAAAAATTAATTCTGCACCAATCATTAATTTGACCTTCTGGCATCCAATTAGAGAGATCAGGCCGAGGTTGGGTATCTAATGACGGCACAATTTGGAAAATTTCTTTATGAAAGTAAGAAAATTTGAGTTAATATTCGAGAATGAAATTTGTGAAAAAATCTTTTTTTTTTTAATTTTGTTTTCATTCAGTGGCGGAGACTGTTATTGGGATCAGTCTTGGGTGTGTGTGTGTGTGTGTGTGTGTGTGTGGGTGTGTGTGTGTGTGTGTGTGTGTGTGTGTGTGTGTGTGTGTGTGTGTGTGTGTGTGTGTGGGTGTGTGTGTGTGTGTGTGTGTGTGTGTGTGTGTGTGTGAGGGGATTATGTAAGTGCGCAGTAGAAACACACTCACACACACACACACACACACACACACACACACACACACACACACACACACACACACACACACACACACACCACACACACACACACACACACACACACACACCACACACACACACACACACACACACACACACACACACACACACACACAGACCCACACACACAGACCCACACACACAGACCCACACACAGACCCACACACAGACCCACACACAGACCCACACACAGACCCACACACACACACACACACACACACACACACACACACACACACACACACAGACACACACACACACAGACACACACACACACACACACACACACACACACACACACACACACACACACACACACACACACACACACACACACACAACGTCGCAAGCAGAATGATCCATAATGTTGCAAACACGTCATCGCGATGGGAACACGTGCTCATTCATATCGTTCTTCGCAGATGTTGCAAAACTGACGAGATGAATTATAACAAGACGACCTACACGTGCTTCATAGGCCCTCAGATGGTTGCTAGACATTAACCCTGCCAAATGTCAAGTAAGGGAAATAGGTTCAAGGGCTATATGAGAAACCCCATTAACAATATTGATTAAAAAAAGCACAGTTTAACATGTTTAACTTGCAAATGATGAAGTATATACCTGTAGGAGGACTTCAGAGCACTATGTACACTCTCTATGTAAAGGTGTACATAGTGTACTATAAGACCTCCCTCGAGATCTATCTCAAGAACCACATACTCAAACGTGAAGGTTGGGTAAAGTGTAGCAAGACTGGTGACATATGTGAGTGGACTGAACACGACGCCCTGGTCAGTGAACGCACCCACACCCACGTTGGGCCGAGTACATGCGAGTGAGTACATGTAGGGGAGTACATGTAGGGGGAGTCGTGTAGGAGAGTACATATAGGGGAGACGTGTAGGGGAAGTACATGTAGGGGTATCAACCTGGATATCAACCAGGTATCAACCAGGGGAGTCGTGTAGGGGAAGTACATGTAGGGGAGTCGTGTAGGGGAAGTACATATAGGGGAGACGTGTTAGGGAAGCGTATATATATACCCGGCCATAAGGTCATAGGGAAGGCAACAAGAGGTCAAATGTGTGGTAGTTTGCGGGGTTAGTAACGTAGCTTTATTAACGATAATTACTATACTATTCCTTCACAGCTTCCCACCAACCCTTTCTAGCTCTCCCCGCCACCCATTTCTCCCCTCCCCCTTCCTCGTCCTCCTCTCCTCTCCTCTCCCTCCCATTTCTCCCCTCCCTCGTCCTCCTCTCCCCGCCTCCCATTTCTCCTCTCCCCCTTCCTCGTCCTCCTCTCCTCTCCCTCCCATTTCTCCCCTCGCCTTCTTTGCCTCGCCTCCTTATCCCTTCATTCCCCTTCCACGACCTGTCTTACCTTTTTGGTAATGACTGTGTTGGTTGTGGTGATGGTGGGGGGTGATTGTTGCAGCAGCACTGGTGATTGTGGTGGCGGGGTGGTTGGCAGGGTGGTGGTGATGGGGCAGGTGGTGGCAGGGAGGGTGGCAGGCAGGGTGGTGGTGGCTGGGAGGTGGCTGGGGAGGTGGAAGAATCACGCCCAGGTGCACACACCAAGACAGCTTCACCCACCTTGTGTACACAGTCCTAACCCCCCACCCCCCTCCACCACCACCACCACCCCCCCACCACCCCCCACCACCCCTACCACCCCCCCCACCACCCCCCCACCCCACCACCCCCACCTCCAGTACGTGTACCAGCACGCCCAGGAGTCGTGCTTGACGGAACAAGCAGGATGGTTGTCTCTGGTGCACGTGTATTATAATGAGACAGTAGCTAGGAGCCTTGCAAGACGTTCACGATAGTTTGAATTGCTCGGTCGTGTTAATGACCTTGTTAACAAGACTACCTAGTTCCATCGTTATATAGCCTTCACATAAACTGGGACAGATCCTGACCTGTCATCTCGCCTAATCTGACGCAGTTTCTGCCACTCCGTTCAAAGTACGATGTATTGGTATCAACTCAAGCACCGTAATACTAACGTAATTTTACATTTATGGGTGTTGAATAGGTTAGGTGGGTTGCTTGGGCTCGTACGCCTCAGGTTAGTCAAAGCAGTTGAAGTTATTACAGAATGGCAATTAGAGAACGGGCTGTGCTTCAGACGGGTGACTGAAGCATTTACAGATTTCAGGCATGGCCCCTAGTCCCTGGCATAAGATGCTGCTAGGACACAGGCATGGCCCCTAGTCCCTGGCATAAGATGCTGCTAGGACACAGGCATGGCCCCTAGTCCCTGGCATAAGATGCTGCTAGGACACAGGCATGGCCCCTAGTCCCTGGCATAAGATGCTGCTAGGACACAGGCATGGCCCCTAGTCCCTGGCATAAGATGCTGCTAGGACACAGGCATGGCCCCTAGTCCCTGGCATAAGATGCTGCTAGGACACAGGCATGGCCCCTAGTCCCTGGCATAAGATGCTGCTAGGACACAGGCATAGTCCCTAGTCCCTGGCATAAGGTGGTGCTAGGACACAGGCATAGTCCCTAGTCCCTGGCATAAGGTGGTGCTAGGACACAGGCATGACCCCTAGTCCCTGGCATAAGGTGGTGCTAGGACACAGGCATAGTCCCTAGTCCCTGGCATAAGGTGGTGCTAGGACACAGGCATGGCCCCTAGACCCTGGCATAGTGCCACCTTGCCCACCGTGAAGTGCCATCTTGCCCCCCTACCCCTGCCCCCTTCTCCTGCCCGCCGTCGTTCCCTTTTCGGGGCTTCCAGGTAATTTCCTTGTTGCTCATCTCCCAGGACGTGTCAGGCACCTCCCGGCTCACAAAGGTTCATTTCCCGGGCGACGGCCACGTCCCCGCCGCGATCCCCTCATCTTCCGTCTCATTACCTCTTCTGTTTGTGGACTGCTTCCTCAGCCCTCTCCTTCTCAGCCCTGGCTTCCTCAGCCCTCGCCTCCTCAGCTCTCGCCGCCTCAGCCCTCGCCGCCTCAGCCCGCGCCGCCTCAGCCCTATCCTCCTCAGCCCTGGCTTCCTCAGCCCTCGCCTCCTCAGCTCTCGCCGCCTCAGCCCTGGCCGCCTCAGCCCTGGCCGCCTCAGCCCTGGCCGCCTCAGCCCTCGCCGCCTCAGCCCTATCCTCCTCAGCCCTCGCCTCCTCAGCCCTCGCCGCCTCAGCCCTCACCTCAGCCCTCGGCAGCGGTTGAGCCTAGTGGCCGGTGAAGGCGGTAGAGATAACAGCGACATCTGCGCGGGTCGCTGATATCACAAGTTGTTGTTACAGATTCAGCTACTCGGAACAAGTTCCAAGTAGCACGGGCTATGGTGAGCCCGTAACTTACCTGGCACAGGAGCGCGGCGTGTAAACCCCACAAATCAAAACCTACAACAGCAGTTCCGAAGACGAAACCTGTGCCCAGAGTGTCGAAATCTTCATACCAAATACACAGTATCTCTCGCATACATATTCATACGACACGTATATGGATTCACGGGACATGTATGCCGGAAATATTTACACATGTCCTGTCGAGCTTGTCCCATAACTCCCCCGGCCTCACCTCTCCCAAACTGAGGTCCTTCCTTAGTCCGTCTTAATGACGGAGTATGACTGGAAATAATGACTAAATCCCAGGATTTACCGCGCGACGCGGGCCGTACCTTTGTTATTACTGGGATAAGACAGGCAAGTAGAGAGTTATGGGATAATTGGCCTCAATTACGCATCATAATGAAGACGCGTCCCAGCTCGTTAGCGTCTGGTAATGGCGAGTGTGTTGCGGCTTGCGAATGGTGGTGGTCTTTATGACCTACCCTAGAGGTGGTCCTTCCGACGCTCTGCTGCTCCCAGCTGCTTCCAGGCCGCTCGCAGCTGCTTCCAGACCGGTGGTAGCTGCTTCCAGATCGCTGGCCGCTGCTTCCAGACCGCTCGCCACTGCTTCCAGGCCGCTCGTAGCTGCTTCCAGACCGCTCGTAGCTGCTTCCAGACCGCTCGCAGCTGCTTCCAGACCGCTCGTAGCTGCTTCCAGACCGCTCGTAGCTGCTTCCAGACCGCTCGTAGCTGCTTCCAGGCCGATCATAGCTGCTTCCAAACCGCTCGTAGCTGCTTCCAGACCGCTCGTAGCTGCTTCCAGACCGCTCGTAGCTGCTTTCAAACCGCTCGTAGCTGCTTCCAGACCGCTCGTAGCTGTTTCCAGACCGCTCGTAGCTGTTTCCAGACCGCTCATAGCTGCTTCCAGACCGCTCGTAGCTGCTTCCAGACCGCTCGTAGCTGCTTCCAGACCACTTGCAGCTGCTTCCAGACCGCTGGCCGCTGCTTCCAGACCACTAGCAGCTGCTTCCAGGCCGCTGGCTGCTCCTTCCAGCCCGCTCGTAGCTGCTTCCAGACCGCTCCCAGCTGCTTCCAGACCGCTCGTAGCTGCTTCCAGACCGCTCGCAGCTGCTTCCAGACCGCTCATCGCTGCTTCCAGACCGCTGGCCGCTGCTTCCAGACCACTCGCAGCTGCTTCCAGACCGCTCGTAGCTGCTTCCAGACCGCTCGTAGCTGCTTCCAGACCACTCGCAGCTGCTTCCAGACCGCTCGTAGCTGCTTCCAGACCGCTCGTAGCTGCTTCCAGGCCGATCATAGCTGCTTCCAAACCGCTCATAGCTGCTTCCAGACCGCTCGTAGCTGCTTCCAGACCGCTCGTAGCTGCTTCCAGACCACTTGCAGCTGCTTCCAGACCGCTGGCCGCTGCTTCCAGACCACTAGCAGCTGCTTCCAGGCCGCTGGCTGCTCCTTCCAGCCCGCTCGTAGCTGCTTCCAGACCGCTCCCAGCTGCTTCCAGACCGCTCGTAGCTGCTTCCAGACCGCTCGCAGCTGCTTCCAGACCGCTCATCGCTGCTTCCAGACCGCTGGCCGCTGCTTCCAGACCACTCGCAGCTGCTTCCAGACCGCTCGTAGCTGCTTCCAGACCGCTCGTAGCTGCTTCCAGACCACTCGCAGCTGCTTCAATACCGCTGGCCACAGCTTCCAGACCACTAGCAGCTGCTTCCAGGCCGCTGGCTGCTCCTTCCAGGCCGCTCGTAGCTGCCTCCAGACCGCTCCCAGCTGCTTCCAGACCGCTCGTAGCTGCTACCAGACCGCTCGCCGCTTCCCCTTATCCTGCTGGACGGTTGTAGCAGGTGTTGTAGTTCCAATATATGTAATTTTCTAATGTATAATTTGTGTACTGTATTATCTGTATCTGTATTCTGGGCCCCGGTATCTGTATTAGAGTCCCGGTAGTATAGTGGGATTCGTTCTCGATTCACAGTCGGGAATTCCGGGTTGAATCTCGGATGGGACATAAATGGTTGGGCGTATTTTCTAACACCTAATGTAATCATAAGTGATCCATTCAATCATAAATGATCCATTCAATCGTAAGTGATCCATTCAATCGTAAGTGATCCATTCAATCGCAAGTGATCCATTCAATCATAAGCGATCCATTCAGTCGCAAGCGATCCATTCAATCGCAAGTGATCCATTCAATCGTAAATGATCCATTCAATATTAAATGATCCATAAAACGCCGCCGAAGATATCATACCTAACCCCTCTCTCTCTCGCTGTTTCAGAACTCCATCCGGCACAACCTGTCGCTGCACAACCGGTTCATGCGGGTGCAGAACGAGGGGACGGGCAAGTCCTCGTGGTGGGTACTGAACCCCGACGCCAAGCCCGGCAAGTCGACCAGGCGACGCGCTAACACCATGGAAGGTGGCCGCTACGAGAAGAAGAGAGGGAGAGTCAAGAAGAAGCTAGAGGTAAGTGATGGTGATGGGAATGATTGTGTAGTGAGAATGGTGATAATGGTAATGTGATAGAGATAACGTTGGTAACGTTAATATTGATAGTGATGCCGCTGGTATTTCTGGCAGGACATGTATGGTGAAGAGTGAGGGGAGGTGCCTCCAAGGGTGAGGTAGTGTAGAGTGAGGGGAGGTGCCTCCGAGGGTGAGGTAGAGAAGAGTGAGGGCAGGTGCCTCCGAGGGTGAGGTAGAGAAGAGTGAGGGAAGGTGCCTCCAAGGGTGAGGTAGTGTAGAGTGAGGGGAGGTGAATCCGAGGGTGAGGTAGAGAAGAGTGAGGGAAGGTGCCTCCGAGGGTGAGGTAGAGAAGAGTGAGGGAAGGTGCCTCCGAGGGTGAGGTAGAGAAGAGTGAGGGAAGGTGCCTCCGAGGGTGAGGTAGAGAAGAGTGAGGGAAGGTGCCTCCGAGGGTGAGGGGTGGTAGACTCCTAGGATGTCCTTTATAGTAATGTAGAAAATTACTAGTAGAAAGTAATTACTAGTAGAAATTACTAGTAAGCTAATAGAAAATTTGTACTTGGTTCCTATTTTCTATGAACACTTTTTTTTTTAGTTCATTCGTCTTATTTGTGAATACGTTGAACACGGACCAGTATTGAACTTGAGCAAGTCTTGAACACCACGCAATATTGAACATAACTAGTTATATTCCCTTACACTTATAACTCGTGTCTCAAAAATAATTCTCAAAAATAATTCTCTAGAACGCAGACAAGAGAGATACATGATAATTCACACTAGGACATTATTAGAAGGACTGGTTCCACATTTGAACATTGAAATAACTAGTGACACCATTATGCATGGCAGGAAGTGCAAAATAGTCCCGTTGAACAGCAAAGGTGCCTTAATGGGATATTCATGCCCGTGCCACCCATCAACCAATCAGCAGATGTGCAATGGGTAGTTTATCTTTGAGGTCAAGACTTTTCAACACTCCCCCTCTCAACATAAGGGGCCGACCTCTCACAATGACCTGATAAATACCTCATAAGGATGATCAACTAGGCTATAATGCTTTCGCCACACTGCAACCAGCGGAGTGTAACAGCCTGGTTGACCAGACTTCTATAGATCGGGCCACGGGGGCATTGATACGCGGAACCTCAACTGTGGTTACCCTTGTGGTGGAGCCACATATCAACATCTCCCCCGGGCCCGGTCTCTGGCCAGGCCTCCTGACTGGTCAACCAGGCTGTTAGACGCAATCTGGCGTACGAATCACAGGTTGGTTGATCAAACACAACCCAAAGTAGTCACCACAAGGTAGATACCCGTCCCCACTTCACATCCCCGTGTCCTGTGACGTTACTCCACGTTGTCTAATGCGCCACACTAAAATAGGGAAATTAATAATACTATTAATGATAGTAATAACGAAGTAATTAACCCATTGTCCCCACCATACTGTCAGTTATGACCCATCAATTGTGTTAATATTGTTGCTGAGTCCGGGGGCAGGGAGGGCAAGAGTCAGTGTAAACACTAGGTGTAGGTGTGTTGCTTCGGCCGCCTAGAGCCACACCGTGGCCGCCTAGAGCCACACCGTGGCCACCTAGAGCCACACCTTGGCTGCCTAGAGACACACCGTGGGTGCCTAGAGCCACACCGTGGGTGCCTAGAGCCACACCGTGGGTGCCTAGAGCCACGCCGTGGGTGCCTAGAGCCACACCGTGGGTGCCTAGAGCCACACCGTGGGTGCCTAGAGCCACGCCGTGGGTGCCTAGAGCCACGCCGTGGGTGCCTAGAGCCACGCCGTGGGTGCCTAGAGCCACGCCGTGGGTGCCTAGAGCCACGCCGTGGGTGCCTAGAGCCACGCCGTGGGTGCTTAGAGCCACGCCGTGGGTGCCTAGAGCCACGCCGTGGGTGCCTAGAGCCACGCCGTGGGTGCCTAGAGCCACGCCGTGGGTGCCTAGAGCCACGCCGTGGGTGCCTAGAGCCACGCCGTGGGTGCCTAGAGCCACGCCGTGGGTGCCTAGAGCCACGCCGTGGGTGCCTAGAGCCACGCCGTGGGTGCCTAGAGCCACGCCGTGGGTGCCTAGAGCCACGCCGTGGGTGCCTAGAGCCACGCCGTGGGTGCCTAGAGCCACGCCGTGGGTGCCTAGAGCCACGCCGTGGGTGCCTAGAGCCACGCCGTGGGTGCCTAGAGCCACGCCGTGGGTGCCTAGAGCCACGCCGTGGGTGCCTAGAGCCACGCCGTGGCTGCCTAGAGCCACGCCGTGGCTGCCTAGAGCCACGCCGTGGCTGCCTAGAGCCACGCCGTGGCTGCCTAGAGCCACGCCGTGGCTGCCTAGAGCCACGCCGTGGCTGCCTAGAGCCACGCCGTGGCTGCCTAGAGCCACGCCGTGGCTGCCTAGAGCCACGCCGTGGCTGCCTAGAGCCACGCCGTGGCTGCCTAGAGCCACGCCTTGGCTGCCTAGAGCCACGCCGTGGCTGCCTAGAGCCACGCCTTGGCTGCCTAGAGCCACGCCTTGGCTGCCTAGAGCCACGCCTTGGCTGCCTAGAGCCACGCCTTGGCTGCCTAGAGCCACACCAGGGTCACCTAGAGCCAGATCGTGGCCGCCTAGAGCCACACTGGCTGCCTAGAGCCACACTTTGGCTGCCTAGAACCACACCGTGGCCACATAGAGCCACACCTTGGCCGCCTAGAGCCACACCGTAGCTGCCTAGAGCCACGTCTTGGCTGCTTAGAGCCACACCTTGGCTGCCTAGAGCCAAACCGTGGCTGTCTAGAGCCACTCTGTGGCTGTCTAGAGCCACTCTGTGGCTGTCTAGAGCCAATCTGTGGCTGTCTAGAGCCACTCTGTGGCTGTCTAGAGCCACTCTGTGGCTGTCTAGAGCCACTCTGTGGCTGTCTAGAGCCACTCTGTGGCTGTCTAGAGCCACTCTGTGGCCGCCTAGAGCTACATTGTAGCTGCCTAGAGCCACACCGTGGGTGCCTAGAGCCACACCGTGGGTGCCTAGAGCCACACCGTGGGTGCCTAGAGCCACACCGTGGCTGCCTAGAGCCACACCGTGGCTGCCTAGAGCCACACCGTGGCTGCCTAGAGCCACGCCTTGGCCGCCTAGAGCCACACCGTGGCCGCCTAGAGCCACACTGTGGCCGCCTAGAGCCACACTGTGGCCGCCTAGAGCCACACTGTGGCCGCCTAGAGCCACACCGTGGCCGCCTAGAGCCACACCGTGGCCGCCTAGAGCCCAACCGTGGCCACCTAGAGCCACACCGTGGCTGCCTAGAGCCACACCGTGGCTGCCTAGAGCCACACCGTGGCTGCCTAGAGCCACACCGTGGCCACCTAGAGCCACACCGTGGCTGCCTAGAGCCACACCGTGGCTGCCTAGAGCCACACCGTGGCTGCCTAGAGCCACACCGTGGCTGACTGGAGCCACACCGTGGCTGACTGGAGCCACACCGTGGCTGCCTAAAGTCACACCGTGGCTGACTAGAGCCACACCGTGGCTGACTAGAGCCACACCGTGGCTGACTAGAGCCACACCGTGGCTGCCTAAAGTCACACCTTGGGTGCCTAGAGCCACACCGTGGCTGCCTAGAGCCACACCGTGGCTGCCTAGAGCCACACCGTGGCTGCCTAGAGCCACACCGTGGCTGCCCAGAGCCGCACCGTGGCTGCCCAGAGC